CATGTGCCCCGCCCCCCACACCTCACCCGGGGGAACTGCGTTCCCCCGCGTTCCCCCCCGAAATGACCTCTGGTTGTAGGAATGCAAACAGTGAAGTTTGAAATATGACATTTGTTGTAGGAATTCTGGTGGAGAAGATTGTAGTGTAAGAAATGAAGTGAGACATATGTACTTTTTTTCTCTCTACCGAAGGACCTCTCTGTAGACCACATTGGTGGTTCTGCCCTCAGGTGCTAGGATGACCAGGCTGCTTGATGAGCTCACTCTGGAGCAGGCCACATAGAACTGTCCATTTAAGAAGCAGTCGTCTGTTAAGTCCACTCCTGCCACCTTCCACGAAAGTGATGGCCTCTCTACTTGTGTTCCTGGATTGTTTTGCTCATATGGAGAGTGTGTTGTTCTGAGCACCTCAGGGTGATCTTGCTGGTACTTGGCCTGTGCAGCTCAGTGCACTGCAGGAGTACAATGTGCAAATGTCTTTCCCGTATTACTAAGTTGCCTCCTCCTTGTAGCGTTGGTGTATCTGGCTCGATGTTTGCCAGGAGCTTTCTTGGGGGCAGTAAGAGGTGAGAGGTGTGATGGGGAGTTGGTGTGAGGGAGTGGTGATGTGGTGGACATTTCTTCAGGTTCATGAGGGAGGCATGCATTGAAATGGCTCCTAGAAATGTCCTTTACTATCTCCCTATGCTGTGGTCTGAAGCATGTGACACAGTCCTTTTTGTGCCTTAGCTTGCTAGCTCATGCCAGTCATGGATTCCCCTGATCAGCAACGCTGTAGCACATAAGGCAGTCCTAGAAATGTCCTTTACTATCTCCCTATGCTGTGGTCTGAAGCATGTGACACAGTCCTTTTTGTGCCTTAGCTTGCTAGCTCATGCCAGTCATGGATTCCCCTGATCAGCAACGCTGTAGCACATAAGGCAGAAGCTTTTCTGGGGGACTCTATTTTAGCCCAGGCGGGGGGTGTTCAAAGGTGGTTGGAATCAGAGGGGGTGGGTGGCAGCATCAGCCTCTGTATTTTGCCTTTCACGAGTGAACTTGTGACCATTTTACAGTGTGTGTGGGTGCCCACACCACTGTTTTGGCCCTTGAAAACATTTTTACTCTATTTTAGCCCAGGCGGGGGGTGTTCAAAGGTGGTTGGAATCAGAGGGGGTGGGTGGCAGCATCAGCCTCTGTATTTTGCCTTTCACGAGTGAACTTGTGACCATTTTACAGTGTGTGTGGGTGCCCACACCACTGTTTTGGCCCTTGAAAACATTTTTTTGGGGGGAACATAAGAACATAAGAGACGCCAATGTTGGATCAGGCCAAAGGCCCATCCAGTCCAACACTCTGTGTCACACAGTGGCCAGAAATACCAGTGCCATCAGGAGGTCCAGCAGTGGGGCCAGGACATTAGAAGCCCTCCCACTGTTGACCCCCCCCCCAAGCACCAAGAAGACAGAGCATCACTTGCCCCAGAGCCCCTAGCTATACCTTGTGGCTAATAGCCACTGATGGACCTCTGCTCCATATGCTTATCTAATTCCCTTTTGAAGCCGTCCATGCTTGTAGCACCCACCACTTCCTGTGGCAGTGAATTCCATGTGTTAATCACTCTTTGGGTGAAGAAGTACTTCCTTTTATCCGTTCTAACCCGACCGCTCTGCAGTTTCATGGAGTGCCCACGAGTTCTTGTATTGTGAGAAAGGGAGAAAAGTACCTCTTTCTCTACCTGCTCTTTCCCATGCATAATCTTATAAACCTCGATCATGTCACCCCTCAGTCGTCTTTTCTCCAAGCTAAAGAGCCCTAAGCGCTTTAACCTTTCCTCATAGGGAAAGTGTTCCAACCCTTTTATCATTCGAGTTGCCCTTTTCTGCACTTTTTCCAAAGCTATAATATCCTTTTTAAGGTGTGGTGCCCAGAACTGCACACAGTATTCCAAATGAGGTCTCACCATTGATTTATATAGGGGCATTATTATATTGGCTGATCTGTTTTCAATACCCTTCCTAATAATCCCCAGCATAGCATTGGCCTTCTTTATTGCAGTCACACACTGTCTCGACATTTTCAGTGAGTTATCCACTACAACTCCAAGATCTCTCTCTTGCTC